GATATGCACACATAATAAAATTTAATTTATGTACCCATGTTAAGCAGATTTGGGATGGAACAAGCAAAATTGGGCTAGTTGAAGGGCAACTTTAGTAGAAGTAAGGCCTAGTCTATTTTGTTTCAGAACAGGAAGTGCTACATATTCCCCAGTCTTGAAATTTTTTCAATAAAGAAGAAAGATTTACACTTAAGAAAGGACATGTGGATTTGCTCAATATCTCTGATAGAAAGTTCTCCAAAGTTTCTATCTGGATTCTACAGCCTTTAGCTGATTATGGTGGTGCAGAAGTTGCTCAAGAGACCTGCAATTTTTTTCTAGCTAAGAACCCCAAACAGAGTCCCTCAGGGACATCAGTGTAGCTGCTTAAAGCAAATACTATTTTCTCTTAGCTGCCTTTTCCAGGTCTCAGGGAAAGAAGCATTTCTTGGAAGGAGTCAGAGAGAGCTGCTATCGTCATATCCACTCTTGCTCACAGTCACCTTTTAGCCTTTGCATCAGAGCCAGAGCACAACCTCCCATTTAATAGCAATTTTCAAAGAGGCTTCAAGTGAGCCTTGGTCAAGGGAAATACATGGACACACGGATCCCGAGATACCTAGCTTGTTCATTCTGGACTAAGATCTTTCCCTATTTTAGTGCTCCAAGACTGAAGAATTATAAAATGTGAGTATATCTTATAAATTCTCAGACAAGCAAAGAACTGTTCGCTTAGGAAGCCAATGAATTAAATGAACTTAAAAAAAAAAAAAAAGACAGTGTAATGGGGAATTACAAGGATTAGATTCTTCTTTGAATATATACAGTATTTTGTAAGATTTTTCTATAACTTTTGAAATATGTCCATGTCCGTTCATTGGCTGCAAAATACAGAGAAACATTTAAAAAGACAGTGTAATGTGGAATTACAAGGATTAGATTCTTCTTTGAATATATACAGTATTTTGTAAGATTTTTCTATAACTTTTGAAATATGTCCATGTCCGTTCATTGGCTGCAAAATACAGAGAAACATTTGAAGGTATTGGAAACTGGGGGAGAAATTATTCACCTGCACAATATAGAACATCAATGGGAAATATTACATTTGCATTTTGCTTCTGGATTTTGTCACGCTGTGTTTGAAGGCAGGAATGTTTAAAACTCTACAGCATTTGGGGAAAAAGAGAATGTCACAAGTTGTTAAGTATAATGGGAAAATCTTCAGTGATTGAGCAAACCCATAATGTACCTCTGAATTCCTCCCATGTTTTGAAAAACAGGGTTTTCCTCCCACATAAGTC